CTCGCTTCCTCATCGAATACATCTCCGTGTAATTAAAGCAAGTCTTGAATCCATTTGCATCCGTGAAATGTATGCAGGAATGTCGTTGCTCGATTAACAACTTAATAAATTATTGATGAATGAAGACGTTGAAATTATGAAATTTATTTTCTTTTGAATAGTTTAGTTCACATCAGTACGAAGTGTGGCAAAAGCAACTTGTCTTAATAGGCAGTTAATTTATGATTCAATTTTTTTTTTATCAATTTATAACGTTAAGATCTTTTTACATCACAAATTATTGTAATCAATTTAATTATAATCTCTGAAAATTTTATCGCATACTTTATTGTATCCATAATTGGTATAATTAACAATGTAATCCACAAAAGTTGTAGCGAAAACTAATAATAGTAGAGTTTCGGTTATGACATAATTTCCCCTTTCCCTTGGATATAAAGAGAAATATAAAAAAGAATGTATCATAGATGTCTATCAATTGTAGAGTCAATGAGGCGGCCTGACCTGATATCACACTGTGACATCATTATTCCTGCATCTGTCGAGCTACAAAACAGCTTTTATAAATGGCGTTTGCCTCGTCCCCTCTCACATACGACTGTTTGTGAAATGTCGAGATTCAACGTGAACTTTGAATGATCAAAAGATAATGTTAATGATTCATTTAACTGATGACTTCTTTACATATTCCAGATAGATATTGTAATAATAATTTACTTATAATTTTGTATTATTTTCCAATATTTATTTCTTATTTACATCTCTAGGATACAAAGGATCACTTGCACGCATTTTGATTGTTGCTTATTTTGATGATAATATAGCAAACCAAAGTAAAATAAAGCCTGCATTCGAAAATGGCAAACGATTATTCTGAGGACTATGAAGAGATTTTATTTAGTATTTAATTATTAATTACCCAAAGGTTGTGGACATTGCTTCAACTAATGTCCGATGAAGCCAGTCTAAAGTGGAAAATCGTGTTCATATGACAGATAAATACGTTATAATAAATACACGTATTGAGTGAAAAACTTTAAACCTCTGAGTAGCACTGATTGGAACCACATGTCGATGTTAAACGATGGAATAAATTAAAAAACAATCACCACATCATTTGAGTAAACAAAAAAAAGGTTTAAGCTTCGCTGCGACGCAGACGTTTGCCGCCGAAAGCGAATGTACAGAAAAAAAAGATGAAAACGGTAGACTTTGCTGCTTTAATCTTATGGGTGAATACGTGGAGGTGTAAACGGTTGTTGTTTTGGTTACAGGGGCTCGTACTGCCAGCGTGGGAAAGCGGCAGTCAGGTGGTAACACATGTGGCCCGCTCCTGTTCTCCGGATTGTTTAAAAATAATATTGAACAAAACACATTCGTGTGCACTAAGATATGGTGTCGTCTTCGCGGGGGTCATACTTACACCTATCGTGCTACCGAGCACGGTGGTCCATAACTTATTTATATATACCCACAACGAACTTTACACCACGTTCTATACCCTCAATTAATTTAAAACCACCGATTTTTACTACGTACTTTTAGTGTATACGGTAAAGATAAGTGGCGAAGTACATCTATAAGATTGCTACAATAATTTTTACTACTCATTAAATATTAAATCTACCTTATTTTGATCTGTTATATATTACCTCTACTACTATCTTATCATGGGAAGATACGAAGAAGGAAATTATTTTGTTCAAATAGTGACTAATACCAATTTAGTTTTACCAGAATTTAAAGAAGTTATAGGCATTTATTTGTTTGTCAAATAATTGAAATGTAACGTCTAGGATATCGGATTTAATCACAATTTCTGATCTCATTGTGATTTTTTTTCGCTCTTCCAAAACCCGTTAGTGACGCCTGTAGGATGTCATAATTAGGAAGTTAGACAAGTGGACAAATAACCATTTTTCTAAAAAATAACTTTGTAGTTTGAAATAGCGTTTTATTTTACGTAAAACTTGGCTATTTCGTAATTAAAACCATTCATAATACAATAAGCATTTAAAAGTAACGTGCAAATCCTTTTATTGAACAGCTCGCTAACTTTATGCATAAAAAACTAAATTTATAATGTACTTATGATCTTACTTTTCATTTGATAAAAGGTTTTTCCTATTATTTGAATTATACATCAGGCCTTTGACTACTTTACTCAAACATATTTTACATTTCCTAAATATAGGTTTACTTTTTACATGGTCTTAACAAAGCTTATGTATTTTAGTAGTGTTATAAGTATGTTGTCTTTTCCTGATTATTCTGCGAGGACTTATCGTAATAAGTACTAATGATATTTTTATATACCTGATATCAGTTTTACGCATTTGTTATCTGTTAAATACAATTAGTTATCAGCGAATTTAATAAGTCCAAAGTCATAATTGTCGTTTATCATTTAAATTTATTAAATCTCACATATTTTATTATTTTGTTCAGTAGTATTTTGACAGTATTTTTATATCAATGGTAATTATTGAGGTCCAAATCATACCTCTATTACTAAACTGCACACTTTAAGCAAGCAAAATAATTAATGCTTCAAATAACCGTTCAATTTCTTTACTTTTTTTAAGTGCAAGATATCTAAAACTGCACAGAAGCCCTTCCACTTACAACGAAATATCCTTACATTGAATTCTTTACACTCGAAATAATGCGAAGAATGTGTTTTTATACGAAAAATAAATCTCGGCCATTGATCATCTTCCATGGGCCAAGTCACACGAGCCCGTGAGATGGCCCAATGGCCGAGAAATTGCGACGTGGGTGTCCTCCTTGCAAGGGCATTGTGCGATGTTTTTGCATTATCTTTTACCTCGAGTGCATTTGTGCGTAAAAGCGTGATAATGTGTTTTGTGAATGGACAAACGCGCTACGCAAACACCAGCACATTCATACAATATTGCGTTTACAAAACTAGAGTCACCAGATCACGTATTTGGCGATTTATAATTGAAATATTTTTATCAATGATTCATTTTATGGATAAAATGTTTACAAAACCAACATTTACTTCTTTATGCAATGCTAATTGTAGATATTTGTAAGATTTTTCTTGATTGTTTAAAGATATCTGTTTAGTATTGACGTTAACTGAAGTAAAAAATGCGAAAATATAAAATTTTATAAGTCAAAACAAAATGATTTTAAAAATTAGCTTTGCAATATAGCTGTAATAGATGTTTTCAAGAAATTGCTTTCAATTTCCACTAATGTGAAATGTTTAATTTTTGTTTATTTAACAGTAATGGATTGGATATTAATCATAAAACTATTCTGGCGTAAGCATCAAGAATTTTATCCGTTGGAATGTTCATGAAAATATTATGAATTCAAAGAAAAATGTTAATTGTTTATTTATTCTGTTATATTATTTATGTATTATAAGTAATGTGCTGTTTAATATTTGTTTAGATTTTTTTTAATATATTGGTACATTAGAACAAGAAAAGATTAAGTTATCTGAAAAATTAATACAACATTTTTATTTGAAAAATCTTCCTGTACTTGTATGAATCTAAATTCAATAAGACCGAAGTACGATGTCTAGGTTTCTAATAAAATTAAGAGTAGGTATCGTTAATTAACATATCGTTTATGTTAATTAGTAACTTTACATAAAAAGTTCCGGTATCAATAAGTTTAATGTCGATAGAGCTTTTCTGCATTATTTTAAGTTCTTATTGATTGTGCTGATGCTGGGATTTGAAATAGTTACTCACATTGCTATAATCGTGCTAAGTAACCAGAACTATCGAAACGACGGAATGGTCGCACATGGATAACTTTGAGTCAATTTAATTTTTTTGACATTTTTAATTCAAAGTTAAATGGTTACGTGAGGGCCTTGAAAGTTAAAGGAGTATTTTTTTTTTCATTCATTTCCTGAGTATAACGACTTTTAGGTTTGTTAATGTTTTTCGGTGTCACTTTTCACTTGAATGATTTCGATAAGGTTAATTATTTGCTTTTATAAACTTGCTTTTTAATTTGAGGGAACAGCAAATACGTCAATTAGCAATTAACCATAAGTTTACCACTAAAAAATAACGTCAAAACTCGTGAAAATGAAAAACCACGGCAACAGAAATGTACAATTCCACATAGCCGTTAATAAGCGAATTTTCGATTAAAGCAACTTCTTGTAAAACTGTGTTAACTAATTGCTACAGATTCAGGCTTGTCTACGTACAAATAAAAGTGATTTTAATAACCACTCTAACAAACGAAAAAGTATTGTTTATTATAAAATCAATACTCACTATATTATAATTAGATCTACATTATTCTTGTTCAACCAACGTGTTTGACCTACATATTGATGATTAATATTCATAAAAGGTACTTGGCCACATAGAAACAAACAATTTGTTGTCATTTGAGAACCTTGACCAGCAACAGCTATTACTGTAATAAATTAAAATTAATAATTATGCTAAAATATTCTATTTGTAATTTATTGGTAATAAAATTCCTATATCATCAAATGTAACCATAACATTATTTTAACAACGTTTTTAAAATAACAGATACAGTTTAAAGTTCTCGGTATTTTCGAAAACATCCAGTCCATTTTATGCTATTTTAGAAAATGATGAATTACATTTACACAAAAACACACATAAAATTCACAAAAAATTAGACATAATTTGCAGAATCAAATACAGACCATGAAGTCAGCGAAACCTTCAAAGATAAGTAAATCCGAAAGTATCCAAGAAAGACTTCAAATAATCTCAATTCGATTATCTTACTAATATCATAAATGCGAAAGTTTAGATGGATGGATATTTGTTCGAGTTTGTAAGCTAAACGGTAGAACGGATTTTGTCCGTTTATATGTATTCTTAACAGTTAAGAAGTAGAAACAAACGTATTTTTACTGTATTAAAATTCATTAAAAACATTATTGTGTTTTATACAGTGACATTGTTTAAAGGGTTAACTGACACGCAACGATAAACAAAATAAAAATAGGGCCGATGACTAAATTAGACGAGAACATAATCTTTCCGCGCCCTCGAGCGTGTTCCGGCGAGTTGCGATCGTCGGGTCGCGTCGCCATCCATCTCTTTACTGTACAGAATAATAACATCGCTGACCCAAACTGAAAGCGTAGTCATTTATCTTCAGTCTAAATAAAATCTGATGATACACTAAGTATAATTAAATTTTATCTGCAAGATCCTTTCAAAAGGCAAACGGCCAGTCATGGTAAGAACTGATTCTACACGATATCATACTAGCGAGTACCAATAGTTAACCTTAGTTTACGTTGTCCGAATGTATGAGAAAGAAACGTTTAATAGTAGGGACTAAAGAGAAAGCTAACGATTTAAGTAACGGTCAAGTCTAACAAAAGTTAGTTGCATCAAACGCAATAGTATAATTTTATGAGCAACTAGATTTCGCCCGCGACTCTGTCCGCGTGGTATTAAAAGAAACAAAAGTAAGTAGCGTATTTGTTCTTCCAGAGTATTCTCTACATCTGTACCGAATTTTATCGAAATCCGTTCAGCTGTTTAGGCTCCAAACTCTAACAAACATCCATCTAAACTTACGCATCTACAATATTAGTATGATTAACAACAAGAAAAGAACAATTCAAGATAAAACAGAATTCAAAAGTATCTATGATATATAGAGTATAACAGATGTTTTAACCAAATTTTATCGATAGTATAATCTGTGGTTTCTTTTGTTTTTTTTAATCATGGTCCCCGTACAAATTAACACTAACATGGGTAACCTAATTAGCTCGAATGCGGAAGCAGCGGATGTGGACGGCCGGTGGTCGGGTTTAGGTCAAGAGCGACCGGCAATCATCATTGATTACAGTAGCCAAGGATGCCGGATACTATCTTAAAAATTCTATATTTAAGTCACGCAGCTATGGGAATGTAAACAAGATACGAAGTTCACTTCACAGCGAAGGCGGAGTCTTGTTTATAATGCTTACGTAATGCCACGAAAACATAAAACCTAATTTAATCGGTATTAGGCAACAAGGGCAAGTATACAATTTAATAGTTATACGGTTTATCTGTACTGCATAATCAATTAATCTTAATTAATATAATAAATGATGTTTGAACGTGCTAATAATAGGAACATTTTTTAATTAACAATATTAAAAACCAAATCTTGTCTCTACATTAATAAACAACCTTAGTCCGACAAAGGCGCTGGGTAAATAGGTAATAGTCTTTTCGTTCCAAATTGACACACATCATATATCGAGTTACAACCGTTTCAGATTTCAGTATCAGAATTCGGTAGCATATTGTTATTACTTGAAGTGATATAACCAGATATAACAGTTACATAAGATTGATAATCGGTTACACAAACGTCGAGCGCCACGTAATGGCTGAGCGGAGAAAGCATCGCCGGCCTTGGCAGTGAGGCGGGCGAGACTCGCACTCACGCCACAGTCTATTAAAATCAGTAAGACAACGTAAATTATTTTTTGTTTGTTCTTCACAATTAGTAACTTAATTATTATAAAACTAGCTTTTATTCGCGACTTCAATTACGTGAAATTAAAAAAAAAAGCCTATGTTACTTAGCGATAACGTAGATTATTAAAGAAAGAATTTTGAAATCGGCCCAGTAGTTTTTTAGTTATTTCAATATATACAAAAATACAAATCTTTCCTACTTATA